GATTAGGCACACCTTAGTCTCCATATTGACATAGTTCCTCTTCAGTACTCTGAAGAGGTCCCTGACAGTGGGCTTTCCCAGTGTAATTCATCTTTTGATTTCCTGGTTGCTGCTACCATGAGTGTTGATTGTGAAACCAAGAAAGCTGAAGCTGTTAATGATCTCAGTCTCTTCACCATCTACCATGATGCTGTCAGTCAGCCCAGTGGTGAGAATCTTTGTTTTCTTGATGTTGTGTTTCAATCCATGTTGAAGGCTGCAGTCTTTGACCTGCAGCAAAAGCTTTGGGTCCTCCTCAGTTTTATCAAGCAAGGTTGTATCCTATCAGACATAGGAGGTAAAATTTAAGGGAGAGAAGCACTCTGTTAAGCAATCAGAAACCATGAAGGAAATGAGGAACAATAACTGAAATGCTAATACAAAATGAGAAAAATTGTGTAAGCTTGTTCATAAGTACTGAATATAAAGTACAATTAAGATTCATATTTATTAATAATAAAGAGACCACAACATTAAACATGGGTTGATGCATTCATATATTATTTCAGCTAAACAATTGTTGGTTAAAGTTGCTTCTTCTTCTTCTTTTTTTTATTGGTTGTTTCTTATGATAGCATAGTGGTTACGAACGATGCTGCTACCCATAATGATAAGTTTGAATCTATCAGCCACTAAGAGAAAGACAGAAGGAAGTGGGAGTTTACTCCAGGTAAAAATTACAGCCTTGGGAATTGTTTAACGTGGTCCTACTTGGTCCCGTAAGGTCTCATGAGTATGAATTATGCATTAAAGGTACATAATAGCAACACTGTTCATTGGTCACATGAATGTTGATTGATCATATCAATGTCACTCATTTTTTGTTATAAACAACAAGCATACAAAAGCATTTGCACCTCTGAAATAACTCTCCCCTCCTCCCAGCTCTTATTCTCAACTCCCCATTCTCTCTTCAATTGTATTTTCTCCTTCATCATACTCAGAAATTGAGGTGGTGTATAAATAATTTCTTTTTAAATGGCCCCACCCACCCACTCGCTCACTCTCTCACTCACTGCTATGAGTTGGAACTGACTCATAACTGACCCCACTGGGTTTCCAAGGCTAGAACCTGCATGGGAGAGCTTGGCCATCTTCCTCCTCAAAGATGTGGCCTTTGTATTAGCAGCGCAACCACCTACTGGCCAGACCAGCAAAGCTTTCATATGGCTTTAAAAAGATGAGATTTAGTATTTTTTAAATTTCAAAATAATTTGTATATTCAAGAGCAACCTTTACTCTATGATGTCTGGGGAGTTAAACTACTCATAGTGAAAAGCAATGGCACTCAACAGCTCTGTAACCCCATTACCACAGAGTCTATTCTAACTTGCTGTAAACACGTGTGTCTGGAGAAAGCTGTGCTCTGTAGAATTTTTAATGGCTGCAATCTTATGGAAGCAGACTGACAGGCCTTTTAAATTTTTTTTTCTTTCATTTAGGTGCTTACTGAGGCAGTTCTAGTGGCCCCGGGGATAGGGAATTACACTGCCAACCAAAGGCAATTGGTTCAAATCCACACTAGTTGCTCCACTGGAGAAAGACAGGCAATCTCCACCTTTATGATTTATAAATGCCAAAAATTGACTAGGAGGTCAGCTGTGAGTCAATTCTGACTTGATGCCCATGAGATTTGTGAATTGTTTTTTGTTTTGTTCTCTTTTGGTGATGTTGGGTTATTATTTTGTTGTTGTTTTCTTTTTTTTCATTTTTTAAAAAAATTTTAACTTTTTTTTTCTTTACTGTTGCACATTTTCTTCTCTCCATCCCCTCTCCTTCCCACAGTGCACCCCCTTTCCCAGATTGTTGTTACACATATAATGCCTAATCCTATATTCTTTTTGGACACTTCTTCCCCTCATCTGATCTAATGTAGTGTTAATGATCTATTCACTCTTTTCCCATTGTTTTCCCAATCCCCTCAGGTATGTCCTACTTTGTAATTGTGAATAACACAGACATAAACATGGGTGTGTGTACATCTATTTGAATCCAGGTTGTTTTCTTTAGGTTATATTCCCAGTAGTGGAATTCTGGGTCAAATGAAACTGGCTTTGACAAGCACTGTGGCATTTGGACAAGAACAAACTGGGAGGAGGGTAGAGAGAATACTGCAACAATGAATGAATGGAAACCCAAAATCTCTGTAAATGTTTATGAAAATTAATAAAATATAATTATAGAAAAAAAATCTGTATGCATAGAAAAAAC